AATAAAGCTGTGAAGGACCTGAGCAACACACTGCTGTGCTACAACCCCTTTTTAATAGGATATTCTTCAAAAATCAGACAGAAAACTGAGAAGCAGACTTAGGAATAGCTGTCTAATGGTATGCATCTGCACACTTTTTCCATGAAAGCGAGTCTGTTACATGAAGATAGTACTACTGTGGGATCCTGTGGTTCAGCAACAGTAGGGAAAAACCTTCCAGTCCTTTCTGAGTAGATTCCTCACCTCACACCAAACCCCAATGCGTGTATAAGTCTTTTGAAGATTTGTTTTTCTCTTCACTTTACACCTAGGGCTAAAGAAGAGGCTTACAAAACAGATTGCTTTTTCTTCTGTTTGCATTTTTTATAGTTCTGTTAAGGAGATGTTCCAATTCCGTCTTCCTGGACTCCTCCTTAGACTTGTTATCTTGCCCTGAGAACCACATTAGTGACTTAACCCAAGTCAGGAAAGATCCTTTCTGGTTTAGCTCTGCAATTCAAAAGGGCTGCAATGCCTTTAATTGCTTTTGTGTTGAACCTTTAGTTCTCACTGCTTTCCTGTGTGTGCTTTTATAAGTTGTTATAGATGGAGAAATATGGGCCCCAGTCTTTACAGATATTGCAGTAATAAACATTACACAGGCCAGCTTCTGTGTACTTTGGCCACTGTAAAGGGGATTTAAGACACACTGCAGTGTCCATATGTTGGCAAGCATAGGGACAACTCTCCTGTCTCTCCTGTCCCCTCTGACTGACGCACTAGTCTTTGTGAATCCCACTGTAGCTGTGTTGCACTCCTCAGGCACAGTGCAAGGACTTTCTGTAGCTCTACATGTTGTGGAATGAGCTGTTGGGCCCAGTTCTAAGGACAACAAAAATGGGAAAATGCCCCTTATAGTCGTCCTTTGGGACCGAGTACTGGTGCAAGTAATCTGAAAAGTGGGAAGAGAAAAAGGGCTTTTTCCTGTCTTTTAATTATTCCAGTGTTCAGAGAACCCTGGTGCCTGCATGCTAAGGAAGGAAACTGAGAACTGTATTACCAAGAAGTCGTCTGACTCCATCGCCCATTGGCTCTTTTTAAAGAGCATCTGTGTATGACCAAGATCTGGTCAGCCTAGCCCCAAAAGAGGGCACATCTATTGACATGTGCAATATAGCTCCAGACTGAATTCAGTCTTTTCTTTCTGGGATTGGAATGTGCCTAGTTGTTGGCCCCATCCATCATTGGCTCTAGTCCTGTCTGGCACTGTTCACACCACACAATGTCCTGGCATTCCCTCAGTCTGCTGAGAACTACGTTGTGGTTTATGTACGTTTACATGCGTGACAGTTACTAGATAAAGATGGAGTGCACAAATGTAACTTCCAAAATCACCTTAGTTTTGAGTAGGTGTTCTTGCATATACTTACCGTGTTCAGATTTTTTATGTCGCCTCCAGCTATGTTACAGAGTACGTGGCCACAAAACTTATCCAGGCTTGTACATAACTGTGTCACAGGTCCTTTCAGAAATCCAATTTGGTGCATGGCTCCTTTGTAGCCAAGTATTAACTGAGGGAAGAGAAAAATGCAACACTTTTTTTTCTTGTTACAGGAGCATTTTATGCAGGAAACTGTTGCTAATAGCCTAGCCTCCTAACTCAGTATTCAAAGATTGCTGAAACAGCTTGCCCTCCCAGTACCCCTTAAAACACCTTCTTCCCCATAGTGCATCACATATCCTTCCTTCTTCATATTACTGGTATCAATCCTGGAGGAAGCCATCCTTCCATTTCTAGTGTAGTGACCTCAATGCTCACTCATTTCTGAAGTCCCAGAGGTTGTCATGGCTGTTATTGCAGCTCTGGTTTAGTTCCTCCTGCATGAGGCCAGCAAAATATTAGTTAACAGCAGGAGTCCTACAGCGAGACAGAGTTTCACAAGTCTCCTACTTCACTGGGACTTGCTGCTACAAGCCCTATATCTCCAGTATTTTCCCCACAGAGTTTGGGAACAGATTTTTCAAGCGCACTCGATTCATCCCAAGCTCAGTATCGGCATGTCACCTGTTTGGGAACACTTCATCTCAGGTTGACTGAACCCTGTGAAGGTAAGTCAGCATTGGGCCTCGTAGAAGGAAAAATGACATACCCTGAGCAGTGATTCAGGAACATTTGTTATCTTAATCAGAGGGCTTGTAGCATGTGAGCATGTGGTTACTGGGCCCAGAGCACCGAACATTTTCACCCGTTTAGCCAGCTCAGGGTATGTAGAAAATGCTATGAAGCCTGCAAACAGAGAAGAGGTAGCCTGAGTTAGTGAAGACATCTTCCACAGACAAAATAAATAAATAAGCAGCAAGTAGCAAACAAGAAGTGAGACTAGTTTTGCAGCCCATTATCTGTTGTTCATGTTTGTCTGTGCTACATGTTTTACCTAGGGCAAGTGTTGAAGCTAAGTCCTGAAATGAATTTTATTTGGGAGGCAAAGTTCATTCTGAGGTTTAGAGCATGTCTGGACATTGCCTTTATCAGAACAGTTTTTGTAGGCAACATGTCAATGAGGTTTTTGTGATAAAATCAATTCCCTCTAAAGTTCAAAAAACTCTTATAAAAAATGAGTTTTTCAAATTATAGTCTCTAAAGGTCTATGTATGTTTATGCTTCCATGAAACTGTAGAATAATTAGCTGAATACTGGGAGCTTTGAGTGTTTTCAACTGATTGCATCAAAGGCAGCTGAAGAAAGCCTAGATGGTTAGTTTGTTTTGCCATGAGGGTCTTTAAATATTCTTATGAGAGGAAAAGAAAGAAAAGCCCTGGAGCTGTGACAATATATGATTTTCCCACATTTCCTTCTCTTTTTTCTGGGTCGTTTACACTAATGAATTGGCAGTTGCTCATTTCTAATCAATGTCCATTCATGGATCTTACACATAAACCGTAAACTTCAGGAACTTTCAGCTGATGCTAAAAGTCAGTTAGTTGCATTCAGAGGCCATGAAGTGAGTTAATGCTAAAGGCTGGCGCTAAGAGAAAATAAATTACTAACGTTTTTTCTTTCGTAATTTTCAGTCTCTGGCAATATGTTTTTAAACAGTGATGCGGCCAGTTATACCTACTCATGAACTATGCTTTAAATTGTAAGATTGCCATTAAGTCACATGACTTAGTAATGTTGAGGTTCTTTTTCCTTGTCTTCTGTTATTTGAAATTACGTATTATATGCGCTGTTTTATCTCTTTAGTTTTTCCTTCCTGTTCACAAGGAAAAGAATTGTATGTCTTAATATAAAAGATGAGCTTAATGAAAATCCTGTTGCTGATAATTTAAGAAAAATACCCAGTGCCAGTACCTGAAGTACCCAGTAAATAACCACTTTTATGTCTCTAGTTATTTAAAAAGTTGAACTATATTTGGATCTGCTATCAGGTTTCTTTGCTTATTAAGGGTAATCAAAGCTGTTTTTAGAAAAGTTTTGCATATTTTCCAAATCTCAACTCAGAAGGCACTTCTACATTTGCTAGCTCTCCACAAACAAGAAAAACAACTGAATTAACGGGGAGACCCACCTATTGATCAGATAGGAACACAAATGGTTGTGAAATGTGAGTGTCCTGACAATTACCTGTTGTTGTGCCTTCAGAGTGACCAACATAATACACATCCTTCTGTCCGGTTTTATTCATGATGAAGTACAGCTCTGCTGGAATATCGTATTTACCCATTTCATCAAAGCTACAGGGGAGAAACACAAAAAAGCTAGCAGACAATTCGGCTATTGCAGTGTGAGTTACTGAATGTCAGTTTTGTTCGTTGCACCAAGCAGAACCCATTGAAAGACGAGGTTGCACGCTTTGTCTGCCTTCTTGCTTGAATTAGGGAAGCGGGTAGAGAGATGCAGCTGTACTGCCAGGCTGCCTGATGCCTTGGGCCCTCTGTGGAGGACGTGCCAGTCTCACCTGTCAGCTGCAGCCTTTGGGGAACTGAATTTAATCAGTGCTTTCACTAGCATGGGTTACAAAACACATTTCTCTCTTGGTTGAATTCAGCTGTGAGAGATCAGAGATTTCTAGACAAGGCTGCTCAGCCTATTCAAGCTGAGGTTCTGGCTCTCCCTCTCACAGTACTCTCTCCCTTTTCCTCAGCATTCCATTTCATTTCCCAGTGTCTGAAATCTCTTCCCCAGCTGAGTAGTAGTGAGCATCCTTCTTTGCCTGGTTCTTTACTGTCCTTGTTGGTGTAGACCCTGTTCTGATGCTGGTTTAGGTAAAAACCATCAGGCTGAAGCTATCTAGCCCCTTCGGAGTTTCTGTCTTGAGTAATCCTCCCTCTACAGAGTACCTGAACTGCCAGAACGCTTTCTCGCTGGGATTAAGGGTCTTGTGTTTTAAAGACCATGTGTTCCCTCGGCTGTTTCCCATCCAGACATCATAGCCAGCATCTGCGAGGAGGAAGCCCAAGCTGTTGTTGGGCAGGTTAGAAATCCAGTGGGTAGCATCTCCTAGAAAAGCATGCTGTAGGAAGACTACAGGCTTTTGCCCTGGAAAAGATGAAAGTATTCTTATATTGGAGCAGTAGTTAATGTGTATTTAAGATTGCGGTGCAGAGTTTAGTTTGTGAGAGGTTTCAAATCTTTCTTTCTTCAAGAAACTCCCAGGAGAACTATGCATAGATATTGGTCTGAGAAACATGAAGGATTTGTTCCATGCAAGCAGGAACCATTTAATGACATTTCATAACCATTTCACGACAGGACTGGCAAATAAAGAGTTTAATGAGGAGGCCTGTCCCCATTTCCTCTTGCACTGGAAAGCCAGCTTACAGGTCCCTATATTGAAACCATCTACCCACAGCTGAAAACTGCTGAAGGCATAACAGTGTATGGAAGACAAAGAATAATTCATCCAAAGAAGCATATCTACCCTTAGGTCTATTCAGTAGCCAACTGAGCAGGGCTGAGAGGCTCCTGATCTAACTTCAGTTAACCTTAATTTGAGAGTGAGGCTAGTCCAGATGATCTCCAAAGGAGGAGATCCAAATAGGAGGAGGCATCCAAAATAAATTATTCTGTAATTCTAACAAAGAGTAATAAACAAAGTATCAGTATCCAGGGTACCTCAAATTCCAGGTAGAAATTTTTATTCCATTCAGAAAATGTGATGAAATAGATTAAATGCATTTGCTTTTCATTGATGACCTGATTTCTTATCACCTTCCTTAAGACTATCCCTGTCCTTCAGAAGGCTGGGAATTAATAGTCACATGCCTAATCTTAGAGGCTTTGTTGTCAACCTTCTATTTTAAATGTATATTACTTAGGGTGTTAATGCAAAACTTCCCCAAATCCAGTCTACCAAAGCCTCCCCAAACCCACATGAGGGCAAAAAACTGGGATATGACAAAATTATTAGAAAAGTCAGAAATAAGGACAGAGATACTGAATGTGTAGACTTCAGATGGATTCAGAATTCAGGCCACGTTCCAGACTAGGTGCTCTTGCAGAGATGGAAAGGTGTGG